TAAGAATGGGTCTTGTTCGGCAGCCTTGGCGCCACAGGCCTTTCGTAAACATACATGACAAGAATGGGTCTTGTTCGGCAGCTTTGGCGCCACAGGCCCTTCGTAAACATACACTACAAGAATGGATCTTCCTGGCCTGAGCATCGGGCAGGCATGGCGCACATCTACCACAACATGACGCAGGACGTCCTCACTGCCATGCCGTCTTATTCGGAGTTCCAGGCCTGTGCATTGCATTGGAGCTTTGTGCGCAGTGCTCACCCGTGTTTCTTAGGATATGCTCCGGCCCTTGACTGATTTACTTTCAAACGACTTCTACCGTGAGCGCCTTGTCCACACATGTTTTCGTGGATCGGCCTTCAAGAGTCTGATGCAAACCTGGAATGGAGGAAACTTTATCTTGTGGAGATGGGGCAGTTTAGCTGCCTGTGTTCATGCCGTTCTCGAGAGGAAAGGGGCCTTGCAAATGAATTGGGACGCGACCAAGTTCGGTTTCGGACAAGCCGATGCCCCTCTTAGACCGCATGAGCGTGATGGTGGTGGCCAGGGTGGCAGTGGCAGCAGTGCCAAGTTTATAGAGAAGGCAAGCAATGCAATTGCATCACCTTGGTTCTGGGGTTATTGCGCCATGGTTGGTCTACTGGCTGGATTTTGTGCAGACCTCTCTGGTTGGGCCGAAGGGTGTGCATGTCATGAGGAGGAACACGGGGCTCCCGGGGCACGGTCATATCATCTACGCAAACAGCAATTTCAAGGCTGTCACTGTAAAGGACGTCGTGCCCCGGAGCTCGCAGCTGGTGTTTTAACTACAAGGATCGACATGCTGCAATCTGCATCTGTAAGCAAACTTGCTGAGCTGACCACAGGGTTAAGTGAGACGGACAGACTATCAGTTTTTGCTGATTGGACTTGCGCATGTGATCCTCGGCTAATAGAAGCGTATGCAGCCTTATGAGTAGCCATTCTTCTAACAAAGTTTTCGGGAGAGCTGCCCCGGGTTTCGAACTCACAGAATTCCGAGGACCATATGCTCATGCTTATGCATATCAAGACAGCCCATTGGGAGCAACTTCCATGGAAGTTGTGTGTGGCCGGACACCACGATGCTGAAGTGGCTCGGGCAGGGCTGCGTGCTTGCCGCACTCTGTATCGAGAGGCCGCAGTGTCTTGTCCTTGTCAGTACGACATCGGTTCTGTCTGTTTCGTTATGAAAGTACTCCTGGAACTGGCCTGTTTTCCAGGACTATTTGGTTTATCTCG